TGTACCTCTGGTGCAAATTACTGACCTCTGTCATCATTTTAAGTGGGGGAACTTGCACAATCGGTGGCTGACTAAATACTTTTTTGCCCCACTGTATATCTGTATGTAACCCATTTCCACCTTAATGGGTTGATCAATCTGAATGAGACTTCGCACAGACATCGTCACACATACAGCAGTTATTAACAGCTTTATGTTTTTGAAAAAGATTTCTTATGAATCCCAGTTTTGTTTTTTTTTTTAAATTTCCTAATATATTATGTTCATTTCATCATCCGATCATCATTGGCACTGTGATGGAAATTTGCTTGAGTCGCCACAAATTAGAGAGTGAAGAGTTTGAAAATTGCACCAAAGGCCTGGTGCTGTGTGAATATCGTAAAATGACATCAGTAGGCGTTAAGAAAGTCCAATTGAAAACAAGCAAGTAAATCAAATAAATGAATGGTAACTGTTTTGTGACAGTGGGAAGGAAGAACTCCCTTTTAACAGGAAGAAACCTGCAATAGAATCTTGCTCGGGGAGTGTCAGCCGGTGTGTCCGGTTGTGAGAGAGGGAAAATGTTGCTTTTCTGACTTAAACACGCTAAAACCGCAGATTATGTTACAGGTTTGATATTTAGCATGTGTATGACACATATAAAGTATCTTTATTTCCCCACTGTCCTCTCTGATCTAGTAATTATCATAACTGTTAACTTATTTCAGCTGTGGTTTCTTGAGTTTCCACAAGATGCATCCATAGAGAATCAACTGTGAGGCCTGCATGTACTATTCCCCTTAAAGTCATTATTCTTCCTTGTGCAAAACTTAAATGATTATAATTAAGGCAAAAACGAATAAAATGTATAAAACCACAAATTTATAATGAGGACCAAACAACAGATGAGTAGTTTTTCAGTCTTCATTGCTGCTTTACTCGCTCAGTATTTGCGAAAGGGAAACGGGAGATAAAAATTTTGCACACCTGGTTTACTTTACATGATGTGTGGTATCGTATGAATCTCTGCTAACATACAGTGTCAAATATGAACATTATATTCTCTCCTCAGTTACATTTTCTCAATGAATCCCTTGGCAGTAGCACATCTCTCTTCTGTAAGCTGTTTTATTGAGACTATGATGTACGACTCATCAGTGAAAGCTGACCCATCGTTCTGTGTATCTGTGCAAAGTGTGTGGGCTTCATTCTCTGAGCGTGTAGTGAGATTCCCTGTGTAATGCAGACACTGTTTTTGCCTGTGGGTGTGGCTTTGACAGGCAGCCTGCTGGGTTTTTTTCAGCTTCATTCGATGGCAAACAGTCATGTTAGGGAGCAGGCACGCAACACTTCACTGAACACAAGGCTGTGGTAACGCGGCAGTAAAAGGGTGGTGAAAGAGAAGAGATAATGGAAGGATTTTTTTGTCAGCATTAGACGCCATCTTTTGTTTAATATTGATGTTGAAGTTTTTCCACTGAAAGACAGGCTACAAATATGCTTTTCTGCCATTATGAAAGTGAAATATAAAAATATAATATAAGGGGGATACACAGGCATTTAATTTAAAAAAAAAAAAGCTGTACAGTATAGAGATCGCACGATACCACTTTTTTATGTCCGATACCGATATCATAAATTTGGATATCTGCCGATACCGACATGAATCCGATATATTCTATTTTATAATCAATAGTTTTTTAAATATCCTGCAGCATTT